CTAAAACTGGATAAAGATAATAGAAGAAAAAAGTATGAACATAGATAGAAATTTGTTTAACAAAGCAAGCTATTAGAAGTCAGATCTGGCAATATGTAGAAAGTGGTTTTAAGGATGGCAGTGTTGGTTCAGCATTGGAAGATCTACCCCCAAAAGTCATCATTTTAACAGAAGAAAGGAAAAAGCCCTATGATCCTGTCAGTAGTTGGAGAAAAAGTATTGGACTAAATTCTACAGCTGTTTACGGTAAAAGCTATCAGGAGACTAGAAGTAGAACAGAACCTTCTCAACAGATCAAAGACATGTACTCCATACTTCCAGCCAAAATGCCTTATAGGAGTGGAGAAGATACAATGCTTCTTCCCTAAGGTGGGGAATAAGGGCAGATATGTGTACTATTCATCTGCCCATTAAACTTTGAAACAGGCCCAAACCAAAATAGTCTGCCAATAAAGTGACACATTGAGGATAGGATTGGCAAGGTAGAAGCAAAATCTTTATATGTAGATGAAATGATCATCTACAGAGAAAATACTCAGAAATCTCCAGGAGCCCCTAGAACTTGTATTTGAATTTAGTAGGATTAGAAAACACAAGGTATATATAAAAATTCAGGTCTGTGTATACTTGCTCTAAATGAAGAATTGATATTGAAGTTTAAAAGTTATGTAGAAGTACAAAGGACCTAGAAAAGTAAAAAGAAAAAGAAAAAAAAACAATGTTGAAAGACATTTAGTACCTAATTTTAAGACTTCCTCTAAAGCTACGTAATCAAGGCAGTGTTGGTGTAAGGAAAGATGTATAGATCATTGGAATAAAACAGAGAATCTAGAAATAGAACCACACATATATGGTCCACTGAGTTTTGAAAGATTACTTAACATTACCATTTTATAGAACATAGACTCAATTCAAGAGCAGAGAAAAAGATAATGTTTTCAGCAAATGACACTAGAACACCTGGTATCCGTATATAAAAAATTAACCTCAACCCTTTGTTTCCATACATAAAAATAACTTGAAAGGATCTATGAACCTAAGTATGAAAGACTAAAACTATAAAACTTGAAGAAGAAATTATAAGGGAAAATGTGAATTTAAGGTAGGCAAGAGTTGCCAAGGATATAAAAAACATGATGCATAAAAGAAAAAAATTGGTAAATGAGATTCCATCAAAATTTAGAACTTTAAATGACATCATTAAGAAAATGAAAAGTAGTCCTTAAACAGCCAGTATTTATAATGGATATAACCTATGACCAGAATATATAAAGAACTCTTACACCTCATTAATTGACAACCCAATTAAAAAGTAGACATAAGAAGATGATAAATAGCCAGTAACACACAAGGAAAGGTGTGCAACACTAGAATCAGAAAAATACTAATCAGTACAATAAC